TATTTTAATCACTCACCCCACCCCCTAAAAAACCCCATCTAGGAGGAGTCACTGGCCATGTCCCCAACCACCTGGCAACCACTAGCCAATGTCTGTCTATGGATTTGCTTATTCTAGACATTTCCTATCAAAGGAATCAAACAATGTGTTGGCCTTTGTCACTGGTTTCTTTCACTTTATATATTTTCACATATCAGGGCCTTTGTTCCTTTTTATGGCTGAGTAATATTCCGTTGTGTAGATAGACATTATTTGTGTGTATAGTCACCCACTGATGAACATGTGTAAGAAAATGGTATGTGTGCATTCATCCAATAAACTATTCTTCAACATTCTCATTTGAGGAAGAGATACTCCAGAGTCAGAAGTAGAACTGCTCCCAAGGAGGACTTCGGGTGTTAGCAGGAAGGCTATTACCTGGGATTGCTGCTGTCTCTACCTGACAGGGTGCCCCAGGGGCCTGGTGTCCAGTTGTAGTTTGTGTCATCAGACATAATACAAGCATCTGGGGCAGGAGTGCGGATTGCACTTTTGCCAAGTATGGTCCTTGGCGATGGATCTGTGGCAGCAGTATAGGGGTGCTCTGGACACCTCTTCTTCCTCACCTGTTTCTCTTGTTCCTCAGCAGCTTCTCTCCACGGTTCCAATTTGCTTTCCTTTTTGAAAATACTCCAAATATTTTTGAAAGCTCTTCTGTAAAGAGCCCCATGTTAATTAGAGCGATATTAATTAATTAGTCTTTTGATTGCAGAAGGGATGATGGAAATGAAGCTCAGGAAGGAGCTTCGCTAAGTAGACACTGCCGGAGTTTTCGTGTGTGACTGTGTTTGTGTGTGTTTCCCTTCTCAGCATACTTCCTGTCTGAAAATGTTTGCTCGTAAGAATTCTCATTTGAGAGAATGACTGTTTTTGTTCTGCTGTGATTGTTATGGTTTCTTCTCCGTGTTGTCTTGCTCTTTCTAAGCTGATGAAACTAAGAATTATTAGAATTATAATAGTTTGGCCCTCCCTGGTGGTGCAGCGGGTTAAAGCACCGCACTAAGAATTATAATAGTTTGTTGCTTTATTTACAACAAAATAGAATTTAAAAAATTTTAATTTTGTAAAAAAAAAAATTTCTTTTGTTGCCCCACCCCCCACCCCCAGTGGTGCAGTGGATTGAAGGGCAGCACTGCTTCAGCATGAGTTCGATCCCCGCCAGGTTGCTGACCCACAGGGCGCAGCAGACCTCTCCTGACATGCCTGCAGTTCCCCTCAGCAGTGTACTTCAGTCAGTGATTCCTGCTCTGTCTCTGGTGAATCCTCCCTCTCTCTCTCTCTCTCTCTCTCTCTCTCTCTCACACACACACACACACACACCTCTTTTAAATAAATAAATCTTTAAAAAATAAATAAACTTGATTTCGTTATAGAAGCACAGTAATCTATGATGAAGTATGGGTGTTAGCATTGAAAATACTTTTCTTCAATTTATAAGACAGTTTTCTTTTTTTAAAGAATTTATTTATTTAAGCATACAAGAACTGGGGTACATCCCAGAGATGCCCACCGTGAGAAGGTTCACCAGAGACAGAGTGAGGAACAGGCAGGCGGCTTGACTGAAATATACTGCTGAGGGGAGCAGCGGGAGAGACGGGAGAGGTCTGCTGTGCCCTGTGGGTCACCCCCCTGGCCGGGGATCAAACTCATGCTGTAGTAGCTGTGGACGGCTTCATAAGGCTGAGACTTAACCCCTTGCACCACCAGGTAGGACCCCGTAAGGCAGTTTTTTTTTTTAAATGTATGGAAATACTCAGATATACAAAAAGTATGAACTTTCACATACCCGTCAACTAGCTTCAAATTTTGAAGAACATTTTAATTGCAACTAAAATGATTAGACTAATTAAACCCATCTGAGGAATGGGACATTCTATTTTTATGGGAAGTAATTGAGTGGGAAAATGTGTTTTACCAGTCATGCTTGCATTATTTCTCCTGGAAACCAGTCTGTTTGGATCACAAGGCCAGATTTCCCAGGAAGAAATAAAGGACCTTGGTTGTACAAAAATCATATGAGGCCTTTGATTACATACTTAAATGCAGGCTCCAGGGTGCCCTGGGTCAGTGTTGGAACATCAGAAGGGTGCCGGGAATCTACGTCTGAAAGGTCCCCAAGTTCACCAGAACAGGTCCCCGCCGGGCCGCGCTCAGACACGGTGCCACCTCACAAGCCCAGACCTCTGAAGTGACAGGTTCATTGTGGTGGTTTAATCAGAGTCCTCCCAGCTAGCAGGTCAGCCTGGACCTGCCACCCGATTCACAACTTTAAAGACAAGAAAGGGAAGGGTCAGAGTTTCGAGGGCACATTTTCTGTTCCTCTGGTGGGCTGAGGCGGAGTGTGGGGCCTCACTGCCCCCACAGTTCCAGCCCTGAAGGCTCCCTTGAACCTGCTTCTCAACATGGCACCGTTGCTTCTCCCACGATCACTTTCATCAGTACCTGAGGGGGAGATGAGTTCACTCACATACCTTGTTATGTAAATGCTGCTTTCAAGCTTCCCAGTCCAGACAAGGAAGAGTCCACAGGTTTGCGTTGGCCACTGCCACCTTTGTCCCTTCTGTTAAAGTGCTGGCTTCCTGGGCAGTAAAGGGTAACTGTTTCCTTGGGAGAGAGCGGGGTTCTGGGGTTCACTGTGAGTCACACCACTCTGGTAGAAGCCACGTCTGCCTCACCGTGAAGTCTCCACAGCATCCTGCCCGGGAGATGTGCAGGCCTGGCCTCAAGTCATAGTGCCAGGGCGGGGGGGGGGGGTGGGAAGATGCCAGAGGGCGATGTGAGGGGTGGCCCTGGTCCTTGGTGTCCGATGGGACCTCTGCCAGAGCAGCACAGAAGAGTACTGTCTGTGAGCCTAGCCAAACAGAGAGGCTCTAGCCGCTCGCAGCTTTGCAGGGCCTGTGAGGGCATCCGGCTCCTTCCTGTCCCTGAGAGGCCTTTCCGGCCTCCTCCATCACCAGCGGGGAGTGCCCTGGGCCTGGCTTCTTTAAGGATTTGCTCTCAGCACGGACAGACCCCAAAGTGTAGGGTACCCCACCACTGAGGAAGGGGCAGCTGAGTCCATGGGCGGCCGTGAGCGCCAGCCCTCTCTCCAGCACACACTGTCAGGCCTCTCTGCTCTGCTGCTTGTCAGGCCACTGTCCCCTATCATCTTTTCAAAACTCGTTACCCATTCAACTCTCCTTTCCTGTTTTCTCTCTCCCTCTGGCTTCTCTCCGCTCCTTCCCAAGAGTTGTGTGGTGTTGGAAACCCAGCCCCTTGATTTGTTGGGTGAGGGGCAGCGACCCTGTCACCTGGCAGGTAAGCCATCCTGGAAGAGGGGCCGGGAAGCCCGAAAAGGAGGGGGAGGGCTTTCTGAAGGAGCAGTGGAAAGGAAACATGACTGTGCCCACGAATCTGCATCACCTCATTCTCCTTGCGCCTCCAGGCAGGAGGTTACCTGTCAGGAGGGACTGGAGTGTCCCTGCGTTACCCTAGAATGCTGGGTTCCCCCTGCTGGCCTTCCAGGTCGCATCTTCCTGGCCACGCCCACCTGAGCAGGGGCTGGCTGTCCTGTGGGGACCTGCAATGAGATAACACTCCTTGGTTACCTCGGTTCCGTGGTGCTGAGCCCTGCGAGACAGAACCTCTTGGCTTCTGTAGGTGGTTGCTGCTTTGCAGCTCCCAGGCTTGAGGTGCTCGTGGGCTCCCTGGGTTGGCCAGGACACCTCCCGGTTGCCTTAGACCGGACCCTGGCCCAGAGGCATTGCCTCCTCCCGGGTCTGGGGGGTGGGGGGGAGCGGCTGTCCTGCTGCTCAACAGCGTGGGTTAGCGTGGGCCTGGCGGCCAGCGGAGGAGGCCCTCAGGGTGGCTACTTGCTCCGGCAGGTGCCTTCTTTCTTGTTTCAAATGAACTAACAGTTCTTCTCTGGAGTCTGTCAGCTCATCCCGGGGTCTCAGAGAGCCCGAAAAACTGTCAGGTTGTGCTGGTATTTATGTTTTGCTTTTGAAGATTATATGCTTTCTTGACAATCGTGGTGATTTTATGTAAAAGGTCGACACACATACAAGAAGAGCTTGGCATGGAGTCAGGATTCTGAGTCACCCCCACACCCCACCCCTCCTTGGGTCAGGTTCTGAATGGTACATCCTCTCTCTCTCCCCCACCCCAGGACTCTCTTGGGGATGAGTAGTTTGGGGTGTGGGCCCCAGAGTTGCTGTCGTGGCTCACAGTGCACCTCCCTGTCCCCCCAGGCGACTCGGAGCTCCGCGCGGTGCTGACATGATGACAGTGTACAGGCCAGCCAAGGGCAGCCACAGCCAGACTGCAAACCTGAGCTATAACTTGGCTGACAGGTGAGAAGCTTCTCCCGAGACAGTGTGGAGCTGGCCCGCACTCCTCCTCGCCTGCCCTCCCTCCTGACGAGCCCTCCCTCCTTGCCAGAGGAGGCCTTCTGCTGACCCTCCTGCACATCATCTCCCCCTGCTGCCCTCGGCTGAGAATCTGAAGCTACATGGTCGAGAGACCGTCTCATTGGTGTCTCTGCATACATCCCAGTCCGGGGCTTATCTTCCTACCTACTGGGGCGCGCCGGTATTTTGATCATCTGGAGCCCTGTGTCCCCGCAGCAGTCACCCGTCCACGGCTGACTTGACCCCTCTCCTGTTAGCAGGGCGTGATCTCCCCAGCATATTCTCTTAAGCTCTGCAGCGCGCAGACGATCGATCACTGAGCTCTCACTGCTCTGGTGCCAGAGCCACTGGGGTGCCGTGGAACCCTGCAGACAGGAACCCCAGCCCTTGGGAGCCCCCTGCCAGGTGACACGTTTCGCCATCGTGTCCCTCTCGCCTAAACTTTACCATTCCAGTGTGGTCGTCGGGCCCTTTTTCCCTCTTTGGCTTTTCAGATGTGGCCACAGTGGTGGCGAACACTCTCCAGATGTTCGAGATCTCAGCCAAGAACTGCGGTCATTACAAGCACACTAGTTACACTTATTAATATGAAGACTTGCAATGTACACAGACTCGGGGCATATGACACCTCTTAGCTCATTTAATACGTATTTCTTACTTTTTTATTTTGACACATTAATTTATTCAAATACCAGTCTGAGGACACACGGTCCAAGAACACTCAGATGCTTTCTTGACAATTGTGATTTTATCTAAGATGTACACACGCGCAGGCACGCACACACACAGGCATGAGAAGAGCTTGGCGTGACAACCAGCCAGAGAGCACAGGTGGGAAAGGCTGTTGTGCACTGTGCTGCCCGGCAAGGCCGCGCCTCAGCCGGCCGCACCGTTCAGCAGCTTCGTGAGCCGGAGCGGTCTGCAGCCACCGGCGTGGGCACCTCTGCTTGTTTCCGTCTGGCTCTGAACAGCTGTAGGGATCTCGGCAGGGGTCGGAGCAGCCAGCTCACCTTGGCAGAGCGCCAGAACGTGGTGCCAAGTGTGGCCAATAGAGGCTTTGAGTAAGGCACAGCAGCACTCACCAGAGCCAGGCCTTCTCCACAAGGTGACAGACGAACGGCCTGGTTCGGGAACGGAAAGCCTGGGTCTGGCTGAAATTCACCCCCAATACATATTTGTTCACTAGCCACTGTGGTCTGAATTTGACTTTTGCGCTTATACAATTTCTGTGTCGAGAAAAGAGAATTATTATTTTTTTTTAAAAGATTTATTTATGCATACAAGAGCTGTGGTGCAAGAGGAGTCACCAGAGACAGAGAACAGGCAAATCTACTGAAATACACTGCAGAGGGGAGACAGGAGAGTCTGCTGTGCCATGTGGGTCACCTCCCTGGCCGGGGATCGAACTTACTCTGCAGTGGCTGCGGTCAGCCTCGGTGCTGTGCTTTTAACCCGTTGCACCAAGAGAGTGCTTATTTTAAGGTGAAAAAATGGAGCCAAGATTCAAACCCAAACCCTGCTGACTCAAACCCATGTATTTACCCACTGTGAAAACAGCACAGATGGTATGAGAGACCTGACGTGATGATAGATCGCGGTATCGGCACATGATATCCTCCTGCTATCCGGAGCTACGTGTAGCATCACTTGCCCCTTGGCATGCATTGACCTGGGCTGTGTTGCTGTGTGTCTGTCCTGTCTCTGTCTTGCTTTTAGCACCATGATTCCATGCTTATGTCCCCAGGGTGACAGGACAATTAAAACTTGTGTTTCTCTTTTGGAGGCACGCTGTTATGAATGCCAAGTGTTTATTTAACTAAGGGATTCAGCCCTGGTGGCCATATTTAACATGAAAATGTGTTTGCATTTTCACACGTTTCTAATGTATGCTCTGCAACCAATAACAGCAACACAGTTTAGTGCTAATGTCCCAATCTAGGGGGAAGTCTTTATGTAAACAACTGTTAGTCTTTGCAGTTGAAAGCAAAGTAGTAACAGAAAGTGTGAAATTGCTAATTATTCATCCCTCACTGTGCTCCTTAATTGGGGTTTCAGAATTCCCATACAGTCAGCTCTGTGTATTCAGAAAACAGAAGTTGGCCCAAGTGTGTTTGGTCATCTGGCACATCCAAGGTCACCGGGTGACCTTGTAACGCTCTGAGTTAATTTCCAAACATGTACCCGCCCCATTCTGCTTAGACTAGCTTGAACCTGTTTTCCCTTTCAGAATAACATTTAACACCCTCATGGGACAAACTGGCCTTCTGAAACTACCCTCAGGGGCCTATTCCTCCCCATGTGTGGCTGAGGCCAGAATTTCCGGCAATGATGGAAATATCACCTGCCCTGTCCAAGGTGGCCACCCATGGACACATGTGGCTCCTGTGATATGTGACATGTGGCTGGTGCAAGTGAGGAGCTGAAGCTCTAATTTAATCTGATTTATAAATATTGGGCTGGGGCCCTCCCTGATGGTGCAACAAGTTAAAGTGCAGCACTACAAAGCCAGCAGCAGCCATTTTAGCACAAGTTCGATCCCCGGCCCTGGAGGTGACCCACAGGGCGTGGCAGGCCTCTCCTGTCTCACCCGCTGCTCCCCTCAGCAGTGTACTTAGTCAGTCGCCTCTGTTCTGCTCCCCACTCTGTCTCTGGTGAAGCCTCTCACCGCCCCTGAACCTCTGGCCTGTACCCCAGTTCTGTATGCATAAATACACACATTTTTGGAAAATAAATATATAAATATTGGGCTGTCGGAAAAGTCATGATACATTTTTGCCGGGAAAACACATCATGACTTTTCTGACTCCCAGCAGTCACAGGGTTAATGGCTGTTCTGCAGGACACACAAAACCAGAGTCTCGTTCACGCAGCAGATACTTACCAACCACGTACTTTGCCAGGCATTGCCCTGGGTACTAAGTAAGCAGACATGATGAAGCAGCCCCTGCCTGCCCTCACAGAGAGGCCCGTTCTGCCTGGCTAGCACCCTGAAGGAGTTGCAGTCTGAATACAGCCAGCCGTTGACTCAAATGAGGACAATGAGTCGAGGTCAGAATTTGCAAAAATTTCATGACTTATGGCGCAGTTGTAATTTTTTTAAGGTATATTTATTTGTTCCCGCATAGAAAAAATGGGGTTTAGGCCAGAGGTTCAGGGGGTGAGAGGATTCACCAGAGATAGAGCCGGATGCAGAACAGGCCAACTGACAAAGTCCACTGCTGAGGGGCACAGCGGCAGGACAGGAGAGGTCTGCCACGCCATGTGGGTCACCCCTGGGTGGGGGATCGAACTCTCACTGAAGTGGCAACGGTTAGCTTGCAGTGCTGTGTCCTAACCCGTTATGCCACCAGGGAAGGCCCCCAGCTGTAACTTTTAAATAGTCACTACCAAGACCCATCTGTAGACACAAGAAGCAGAGGAAACAGACTATATAATTTTTTTTATCTCATGAAATCCCTCCTATGTTCATCTGAGAAAAACCTAATATTGATGATAACCACCGTCTGTGCCACTCTGGTGACTTGCTAGATGCTTTGTGTGCACTGGCCCGTCAGACATCTACAGCCACTCTGTCAGAGGTGTGTCATTATTCGCACTTCACAGGTGAGGAACCTGAGATTTAGGGACATGAAGCAACTTGCCTGATGGCACACAACTGACCAGTAGTAGAATTAGGATTTAAAGCCAAGTCAAATTGGGCCCCACAGCTCGGGAGGTCCTGTCATTCCACCCTGACACATCCTCAAGGACAGAATAAAGTGGTTTCTTTCAAATGGTGGCTTCCGTGTTTGTGGCTTGCAACAGGCATATAAACAGGCTTTTATATCTAAGTTCTAGCAAGTTTACATGACCAGCCAAGGGCAGTACCCAAGATGCCCTCACTCAGTGTCTGTCTCTCTTGTTCAGGGTCAAGGTGAAAGGCCCTGGGGCTGGAGGAAACCCTGGGAGGCAGCCATTTAAGCCCTCCATTCCTTTCCGAGAGGTCGACCAGGACTCCCACAGAAGCTCCATAGAAAGCCTCCACAGCCTGACGCTGGAGCCGAGAGCGGACTGTTTCTCGAAGGACATGTTCAGCTCAAACATGATCATCAGCGACCCAGCTTCAGAGCGCAGTGCTGAAGAAGCCAGCAGGGCCGGGAGGAGGCAGCTCGGGGGTCTTCCAACCCCCTGCCCACCTGCCCGAGGCAGGGCCGGGCACAAGTCCCTCAGCATAAAGGACAAGATATCCGAATGGGAAGGGAAGAAGGAGTGGCCCACTGCCACAGCTGGCAGGAAGGCAGACGGGCCTGAGGCTCACCTGCCGCCCTGTGTGGCCGAGAGGACAAGGAGCAATGGGGGGCGAGCTCGGGTCTCAGAGGCTCAGAACGGAACCAGGCCAGAGGCGGAGAGCCAAGAGAAGGAGAGGAACAAAGGGGTGCTGAGAGTCGGGGCCCAGGATGCGGAGCGGAGGCAGGACCTCGGCCAGCCAGACAGGGAGCTGGCTTCGAGCCCAGCCGGGGGCCCCAGGCCCGGCAAACCGCGCCTTCAGCACGACAGCCTCTCTGTGCAGAAGCAGGTCAAGAAACTGGAGCAGGCGCTGAAGGACGGCTCGGCGGGGCTGGACCCCCAGTTACCGGGGACCTGTTACTCCCCCCACTGCCTGCCAGACAAGACAGAGGAGGGGGTCTCCCTCCCTGAGAACCGGGGGTTCGGGAGCGGCTCCGAATCCAGGTGCCACCCCTGGGACCAGGAAGCCCGGGCGCTTGCCCAGGAGGCTGTGGAGGACAGGAAAGGCTGGTGCTGCCGGCCCGGCGACCAGGGCCCAGACGGTGTGTACCGGGGCTCCGAGGGCAGCCCCCACAAACCTTTCATCAACCCCCTGCCCAAGCCCCGGAGAACGTTCAAACACGATGGAGAAGGGGACAAGGATGGGAGCCCAGGCCCCAGGTTCAGGAACGAGAAGCGGAACCTGCCTCCCCTGCCCTCCCTGCCGCCCCCGCCCCTGCCCTCCTCCCCGCCCCCTCCGGCCGTGAGCAGAAGACTGTGGAACGGGAGGCCCAAGCCCAGCGCCGACCACAGGTAGGTGACAGCAGGCTGGTCCTGTCGCGCCCCTGGATCCGGTAGCTAGCGCAGACGCTTCTAGCGTGAGGTGGCTGATTGATTCAGCCTGGAAGTCCGAGCACCAATGGTGTAGCTTGTGTGTTCACTCTGTCCCTGGAGTGTTTGCTTTTTAAAAGTTGCCTTTAGAATGTGGAAGTACCTGTCATCCAGATGGTGACCAGGGGTTGAAAGGAAACATGTGTTGACTCTGGCAAGCCCCTGAGGGTGCTAATCGATGCTCCTTCTGCCACCACCCCTGGCTAGCAGGAGGTGCTTGGACTCTTTCTGGCTCTTCCTGTCCTGTTTTTCTTGGTATGGGCTCTTGAAGCACACTGCTGGGACTGCCTGGCCCTGTCACTCTGTCTGCGTGACGTTCAACAAGTCACTTACCTTCTCAAAGCCTCCGTTTCCTTTTATGTAGATAGATGTATCGTTAGATAGCTGCACACTCTGTCTTGTAATACTGAAACCATATCTTCGATGGTACAGCATGGGGGTGCCTGGAAATAAAATCTGTGCTCTGGAAGGAATTTGTTTTCTGCCTTGAAATCTAATTTCTTGTCCACTTCTATAATGTGCTAATTGGTTTGGCACCCACTTGTCTGGAAATCAGTTTTAGGGCAAATTCCTCAAAACAGTTGTCTGTGCTTACGGTCACCCCTTCTTTTCCTTCACTGTGGATGGACTTTCCCCCCTGGACCTGTCCCTGAACCGTCCTTGATCAAGGCCACCCACCACCTCCAGCCATTAAATGCAATAGCCAGTTCTCTGTCCTTTTCTTAATTCACCTCTTGGAATTTGAAGAACAACTTGACTCGCTCCATCTCGAAACACTGCCTGCCCCTGGCTTCCAGGACACCCCCTTTCCTGGTAGTTCGCTCCTCCTCAGCCCCATTCTCCTCATGCTCAGAGTGCAGACGGCAGCTCCCTCACTGGGGCCAGAGTAGGCTCCCATCTCCACTCCCTCGCCAGAGGAGTTCTTCTGGCCCCAGGACTTGGGGACATGCTTGTGACCTCAACTCTGTATGTCCAGTCCTGACTCCCTCTCCCAGGTGCTGGTTTGTGTAGTCATCTCCTGCTGGGGTCTCCATCTGGCCACCTGCTAGCCTGAACTTGACATGTCGAAACCCAAAGTGTCAACCCAGGTCACCTCAAACTGTCCCCTCCCAATACGGTCAATAGTTACTGTGGTATTAAATGGCACTTACTGCCCTTCATTTTGCTTAGACCAAAAACCCAGGGGTTATCTCTGACCCCTCTCCTGTTCACCGGCCCTCCGCCGTCCAACTCATCAATAAGTCCTTTGTTTCTAGCTTTAAACGTTATCTTGAATCTGACTGTATCTCTCCCACTCTCCCACTGCTTCCGCTTTAGTCATGTCGGACCCACTCCCAACCCCCAGTGTACACTTCCCTCAGCAGCCAGGAGTCTTCCAGAAATATAGATCTGATCCTGTCAGCATGGGCTGTCAGGTAGGGGTCGGTTGGCGGCAAAAATCATAGTTTCTTATGTTCTCTTCTAGGGAGAAAGTTTGCATGTTATAGAATTATACATGCAGATAAATGATAGCCCTCTAAATAGGCAATTGTGCTGTGCGTACTGTTTTTTACTTAGTATATCGAGATCTTTCAATGTGGCCACTTTTTTTTCTGTTTTCCTCTACATCATGTGGATAATACCACACTTTGTTTTATTATTCCTTTACCAACGGATGCTTAAATTATGTTCAGTTTACAAATACTACTACGACGGGCAGTCTATAGCTTTCAAGAAGAGTCTAGAAGTACAACTCTTACTGGCTCTGTTGCTAGCTTTGTGACATTGGGTAAGCTACGGAATTTATGTGAGTTTCATTTTGTTTCTTTGCAAAATGAGATAATAGTAACCACTTTATAGGTTTGTGAATAGGATTTTAAATACAGGTTATACATAAGTTCAGAAAGAGCCCAGCCTATAGTAAATGCTCAATAAATGTTAATTATCATTGTTTTTTCTTGCTCTGTTCTGTTTTATTAATTATGCTATTTATTTTCTAGTTCTAAACCATTTCAGTTTTTTTTTTTTGAAAGATTTATTTATTTATGCATACAGAACGGGGGTACAAGCCAGAGGTGCTGGGTGGGGGTGAGATTCAGAGACTGAGTGGGGAACAGAACAAGCAGGTCCACTGAAATATACTGCTGAGGGGAGCAGCGGGCAGGTCAGGAGAGGTCTGCCATGTGGGTCACCTCCCTGGCCGGGGATCAAAGTCATTTGCAGTGGCTACGATAGCATTGTAGTGCTGTGCTTTAACCCATTGCGCCACCAGGGAGGACCCTCAATTATTTTTAACCTCATGCTTTACTATCTAGTAGAGTTACAGAAATTGATTATTGTTGCTAATAATCACAGTTAATTCTCAGTCACTTTATTCTTTTGGACATCTTACATATACTGTCATACACATTCTTTTTTTTTTTTTTTAAAGATTTATTTATTTATTCGTACAGAACTGGGGTACAGGCCAGAGATGCAAGGGTGAGAGGATTCACCAGAGACAGAGTGGGGAGCAGAACGGGCAGACCGACGAGGTACACTGCTGAGGGGAGCAGCGGGCGGATCAGGAGAGGTCTGCCGTGCCATGTGGTCACCTCCGGGGCAGGCGGGGATCGAACTCATGCGAAAGTGGCTTAAGCTTATTTGTGCTGTGCTTTAACCCGCTGTGCCACCAGGGAGGGCCTGTCATACACATTCTTATAATGACCTTCTGATCTCCTTTTTAACAATTATAAATCCCTTATTCCATATTCTCCTTTTTCAAAAATATCTTGACTATTCTTTCATATACTTTTCCAAATGTTCTATATGTCACTATCAAATTTTATACACATTTAACATGTGTCAATACATCTTCTAATCCAAGTTGTCTATATTTGCTAATTTATCCCTATGTGATTATTCTCTTCTGTGATTATTAGTATGACCCTTTCTCTCATTATATAATCTTTGTATTTAAAGTTACTTATTCTTTTTTATAAAAAAAAGATTTATTTATTTATGCATACAAGAGTTAGGGTGCAGGCCAGAAGCATGGGGGTGGGGGTGAGAGGATTCACCAGAGACAGAGTGGGAAGCAGAACAGGCCGACTGAGGAAGTCCACTGCTGAGGGGGGCAGTGGATGAGAAGAGGTCTGCTGCCCACTGTGGGTCAGCTCCCTGGCTGGGGGTCGAACTCAGGCGGTCATGGTGGCAGTGCAGAGACCCACTCAACCCCTAGGCCACCAAGGAGGCCTTTTCTTTACAACTTTTTTTTGGGAAGTGTTAGATTTTGTCATATTTTCAGCAACCATGTATGGTCTGATGGTTCTGCTTTGTGCTCTTAAAAATGCGTTTGTACCCTAATTATTAACCCATTTTTACTTTTCAGGGGTGGACTCCTGTTTATTCCTGGTTTATTGCTCTTTTAGTGCACCGCAGAATTCTCTCTGCTCGTATTTTGTTTCAGATTTTGTCTCAGTATTTCCTACACGGGACTGGCCTGTGATGACTGTTCTACCGGTTTTATCCGACTCCAGTATCAGTCATGTGAGGTCTGTAGAAGAATCCGGGGCTTCCTTCTTCTTCTTCAGGTTCTGAGGAAGTTTGATTCCTCCTCTGACTCTGAATCCTTTCCCAAACCAATGCCAGCGCCCAGGTGCCTAAGTGCCCTCGTGACGTTCCTGTTCCTGTGCCCAGTGCTCCAGGGGGCAGCTCCGAGCCCTGTCCGAGGCCCCCTCTCCCGGGGGCACCTTGGCTGGGAAATTGGGGCCTCTTGTCTGTGCCATCACGGGGCAGACAGGCCAGCCTGGTCAGCAGTTTTCCCCATTATCTTTTCTCTCTGGGCTGCCATTTGCTCTTCTCAGTCTTCCAGTATTTTCTTTATAAAACAGCTAACGTTACTTATTTTCAGTCCAGAGATGATTTTTTTTTCTTGGCCAGTTTGAATAAGGTTGCATCAGCTGCATTTTAAGAATTTGGGCCTTAGCTTTTTCTTTTTGTTGAAAATAGTTCAGTGGGGGTGATGAGGGCAAGATGTTCACTTTCCACTCTTGAAGAAAGTATGCTTGCTCTGTGGGCCTATCTCTTCAAAGAAAAGAGAAGGCTTAGCTCTGAACCTGGCAGACTTACTGCCCTCTCTGAGACAGGGAAGTCAGGCCAAGGCTGAAGAAAGGAATGATTAAGGATTTGAGGTTAGGCGGGTTTCAAGTTTCATGGACCAGCTGTGCACTTTGGGGGACACACTCCCCTATTTCCACCCGCCTTCCCTGAGCCAGCCAGGAGCCCAGCCAGGAGAGGAGGCCGAGGTCCTCACTGTGAAGAAAGGCGTCTTCTTTCCGTCTTCTGCGTCCCCCTTTCCTCTTTTCTCTCCTCTTCCTCCTTCCCTCCTCCCTTTCTTTCTTCATTTCTCTAAAGCCCCAGGAAATGAGGTACAAGGACTTAAGTCTTCAATCCTAAAATGGGAAATTCCAAAGATAAGGCCCCTTGCAACATCAGCTGAGCGCTGTCTGTTTTACGGCTGTGTTCCAGAGCCCTGGCGGGAACACCTCAGGCGGACGTCGAACATGGAAAGTAACTTTTTTTTAGGGGTAAGCAGCATGCTGAATTCGCATGTGCCTGTAGCCCCAAAGGCTTTCGCTTGAATTCAGATTCTGTATTTGCGTTTCATTGGCTCACATGGCGCGTTTTTAGATTTTTATGAAACCAAATAAATAACTCCACTGACCAAAGTTTCAACTTTTTCACTGATTGTTTTGGCATTGCATAGATTTGGCCTCTCCTTGGGGCTTTAGCGTAAGACTGCAGAACTTTCAGGGGCATGAACCTCTGTCATCCTGCCAGATCATGCTGGGCTGTCATGGATTCCGTCATCTCCATCTTCTGTGTGCCGGGTCGGGTCTCCCGGTGGCCTGGCCGGCAGCAGCCCACATCTGTACCGGCTTAGTGGTTAAAGTTAACTCCCAGCCAGGCTGTGCTCTGTCCCTGCGTCATGTTGGGGCACACGATGCCCACGGGGCCACTCTGAGCACCGTGCACCGTGCCGACAGACGACGTTCAAGATCTTCGAAGGGGCAGGTTGTTGCATTAACTCGGGACTTAGAGCCAAAGTTACTTGGAACGTGCCTGAAGAATCCGATTTTGTAAAATCGTTCATTTCAATAGTAGCTGCTTTGAGAAAAGGAAGAACTGAGCAGGAAGGAAGGGTGCTGCCCTTGGTACGGAAGCGCAGTTGTTACATCTCACTGCTCTCTGGGAGATACAATAGTTGAGTTTCGGACATGAGTGTCTAGAGGTAGTTTTGCCTCAGACATTTCTGTTTCGGATTCAGGATAGAGAAAAGCAGACGCCAAACGCGGGGAGCCGTGTCCCCAGGAGACACTCAACAACAGGGTGCAAGCTAGAAAGTCCTCTTCCCCCAGCTCGCCTCTCGGTATTGTGCCACAAGGTGCGGAGCCATGGGGGAGCCGGGGATGCAGGCAGGGAAGAGACTATAGAGGTGGAGGTAGAAGACGGCCGTGGCCACGGGGGTGGTGTTCTCGGTGGTGGCCAGTTCCCAGGGGCCCAAGACCATCTAACTCCGAGCGGAAAACAATTCTGGAAGAAAGAGGTTCAAAACAATTGACTATAAATTAGCTCTAAGTATACACCTGCTTTTTTTTTTTTATGCCAAAGTTGGGATATCAATTACGAGCAATAGGGGCTGTCAAAGCTTTAAAATTTCCACATACTTTTTCACGTATTTACCACGTGCCTGTGTAGTGGTAGACACAGTACTACAGCTGTGGAGGACAGACTGAGGCCCCGCTGGGGGAATGTCCGCTCTGCCCAGAGGGGCGCACGGTGAGGTATTTCATTGTAACTGCGCTCAGCGCTGGGAGGAAGCTCAAGCGCAGTGGGAATATTCCACTGGGCTCTCTGGCTGGTCACTGAAACAGGGCCAGTCCGCCAGGGAGTGACCCTCGGGGACGCCTGAGGTTCTGAGGGAAAGGAAGAGTGGGGTGGGCGTTCACTGGGTGTGAGCAGCAGGTGAAGGCCCTGGGCACAGTGGGCAAAGTGGCTAGAGCAGCAGGTGTGCCTGAAGGCAGGGGTGTGGTCAGGCGACAGAAAGGCTTCAATTTGAGACCTAGAGTTCTTGACAGCCAGCTGTGACGCACCCTTGAACAGGTAGGATCTGGGCCCTCCCTGGTGGCGCAGCCCTAGGGAGCCAGCCACAGCCGCTTCCCAAGTTCAATCCCCAGCCAGGGAGCCGACCCACAGGGCACAGCTGCTCCCCTCTGCAGTGTATCTCAGTCAGTCTGCCTGTTTGGTTCCCCACTCTTTCTCTGGTGAATCCTCTGCACCTCTGGCCTGTACCACAGTTCTGTATGCATACATAAATAAATCTTTAATAAAAAAAAAAAAAAAGGCAAGGTAGGACCCAGCCTGCTCATCAAAGAGGAACAGGACACATTTGAAAGGTTTTAAGAAGAGAAACAGGCTCCAGTTGCTATTTTAAGGGATCACTCTCAAAGCAGCATAGAGACTGGATAGTGGTCAGGGTGGGTAGCTGTGGGCATGGAGGAAAAGGAGAAGGCATCGGCGTGGCCCTCAGGGGTGACACTGGGGTTGAGGGGTGGCTGGATTCCACGTGGGCAGCAGCAGCAGGGAGATTTGGCCAGAACCTGAGGCTTCAGGCGTCACCATTTGGATGACTGGTCATCTGGCCTTTGCCAAGCTGACTGCCAGAGGAGACGCTGAGGTGGGAGAGAATGTGAGTTGAATTTTGAACTTGTTAATACTGAGGTTCCTGGGCAGCATCCTGACAGAAACAGGGAATAAGTCTTTGTTTAAAGATTTATTTATGCACACAAAACTGGGGCAGAGGTTCAAGGGCGGTAAGAGGCTTCACCAGAGACAGAGCGGGGAGCAGAACAGGCAGACTGACTGAAATACACTACTGAGGGGAGCAGCGGGGAGACAGGAGAGGTCTGCTGTGCCCTGGGGGTCAGCTCCCTGGCCGGGGATCAAACTCCAGCCGAAACGGCTTGTGCTTTGGCTAGTTAAAATGTCTGGCTGCCCCTGGGTCGTGTGTGGAGCACAGTTTCATGATGTGAAGTTTCTTTGTCCTTCGGGCTTTGTGCCTAAGAATTAGTCACCTGAAAGCCAAGACTTTAATACAGAACCGGAGTTGTTATTCCAGAAGCCTGGCCATTAATTCTTCTGTAAATTAAATAAGAGTTTTGCATTGCACGGGGCTTCTCAAACCATCTGGAGGACTGTGTGTTTCTAATCCTTTGCTGAGCCTCGGGTTGCCTTAGTTGCTTGAGGCACTTGGGTGTCTGTTCACGCATCACCCAGGGCCAGTGCCGTTCGCCGCTGCCCGAGGCTGTTGAAAGCAGGTGGTGTCGTGTAGAGAGGACGGAAAGTTAGGCTTCACCAGGACGTCTCAGTGGCTGAAAACAGATGGACACAGACTGCAGGTGGGGAGGCTCGGGAAGTGGGGGGCTCTGCCACGCCGGCTCTTGAGCCCCCCGCCACCCCAGGTTAAACTCACCGGCCAGGAAGGGGAGAAACAGCAGACCTAGAAGGGTTTTCGAGATGGAGGAATCTGGTGTGTTTAAAGAAAGAGGGGGAAAAACAGTGGTGCTGGGAAGAGGGAAAATGCCAGAAATACCCCAGACGCATGAAGAAGGCCCGTGTGGGCTGTCTCCTCCATCCCGTGCTTGGCTCTCACCTGCTGTCCTGCCTCGCTCAGCGCTTGTCTGTCTGCGATTCAGACTCACCCACTCTGTGGCCACAGGGCCTCCACACGCACCCTTTCCTCTTTCTTGTTTTTCCTTTTAAATATTTATCTATGCATAAAGAACTGGGGTACAGACCAGATGGGGGATAAGAGGACTCACCAGAGACAGAGTGGGGAGCAGAACAGGCAGACTGACAAAGTACACTGCTGAGGGGAGCAGTGGGGAGACAGGAGAGGTCTGCCGCGCCAGGGTGGGCAGGGTTACTGGGCTTTTACAGAGGTTGGGGACAGAGTTGGGGTTCCTATGGAGGGAAGGAGAGCAAGAGAGAGAAAGGGGGGGAGAAGTGAGCCTGTGAGATAGTAGGTGTTTGTGTGTTTCACCATATGACCCACCTGATGCCTCCAAAAAAAAAATCAAAGTAAAGTAACCAAAATCGGGGGACTTGAGGTGACGTGTGTGTGTGTGTGTGTGTGTGTATGTGTGTGTGTGTGTGTTGGAGAAGGGGCTAGACATCGAGTCAGCACCAACTCCGGCAGAGCAGGGATCGCCCTTGTGGTTGTAGGGGTGCATGGGGGTGTTGGGGAGCCACAGATAGCCAGCCAGGTCACGCTGGGTCCTGCCTTGTTGGGCAGATCTCCGAGGAACAGGTGGGGTGACTCGGCTCACCTCTGGGTTTCACGCTGCTCATAACCACGTGGTGGAAGTGGGGGGAGCCCCAGGCCCCCAGTCCGCTCTGAAATGGCCGCCACTGCTTCTTTCCAGTCGCTGGCGTGAGCCCTGTCGACACCGTAGAACACTGGAAAGAGAAAAGTAAAAGTGACGAGTGGCCGCCCGTTGCCCGCATCCGCGTCTCCGCTGGGAGGCAGCTGCAGACTTCTTTGCCTCCCCTGCTTTCTCTCTGCTGTGCATGAATTTGTTCACGATGTCGAGGCGTGTTTTACACGTATCCTTTCCCGTCTTTGCTGAACATAACAGCGTGGACGTTCTCGCAAGGACAGGCTTGTCTCACGCTGGCGGGTTTTCACACCTCCTTCTAAGAAGCAGTTGCTTTCAGTACTAAATGTTTTTGATGAAAAACACACACACACATGCAAGACCAGGTAGGGTATCTACTCTCCAACCCAACCTTCCTTGATTCAAGGGCCTGGATTTTTTTCTCGTACAACCCAGAAAGTCCTACGAGTTCGAAGACTTGCTGCAGTCGTCGTCCGAGAACAGCAGGGTGGACTGGTGCGCACAGACCCAGCTGGGGCTCACTCGCACTTTATCGGAAGAGAACGTCTACGAAGACATCCTAGGTGAGCGGCTGTGGTGTCAGCCTGCCTGTGGGCAAGACGAGAGGGAGAGCGTGTCGGGCTGGGCCTGGAGGTGCACACTGTCGAAGGCGTGCTGGCCTCCAGGGAGAGAGCAGAACAGGTGGCTGGGTTGGGGTGAAGGGAGAGGGCGAGCCGGAGGGGAGGGCGGGGCTGACTCTCAGCTCAGCTGCCGGCCAGCTGCACGACACTGCGCCAAGCTTCATGTCTCTGAACTTGGCCTCTCCCGGCCGAGCAGGAAGAATAACGACAGCTCGCGGGCTGTGTGAGGGCTGGAGAAGAAGGAAGAGCACCTGGCTCAGAGCAGGTGTTCGGTACCTCAGGGGCTTAGCGCGTGCAAGACTGGAGACCCCCACACGCTTGGAAACTGCAGGACGGTAGCGCCAAACTCAGACTGAAGTGAATGTCTCCTGTTTAACACGTAACTGCAGTCCAGCTCGCAGATTCCAAAGTGAGGCTCAGTTCAGAGGGAGGTTGCGTTTATGTCTGGTGAATTGCATCATCTCCAGAGAAGTGCACAGGGTTCAGTGAACTGTGAGCTCAGGCCCGTGTCTGTGCTGGAGTTAGGGGCATGGGGAGCTGGGGGAAGACACAGGGGGTGAAGGGCCCATAGGGCCGAGATGCACGTACATCCATGCAATGCGAGCGTCAGTCCCAAAACCTCCACGGCACCGGTTACATGAGGCTTGAGGCGAGGCGTGTGCTTGAGCTGAGCTGTCGAATTGCACCGTAGACTGTTGGAGCTGCATTGTCCCGGGGGCTGGCGTTGTGCCCCTGCCAAGGCAGGGCTCCCAGGCGTTGTGGCCTGACGTCTCTCAGGCAGGCGTGCCGCCCAGGAGGCTGTTAGTTGCAAGGCACGGAGGCCTGGCTGAAGCCAGGCAGGGAACTGGTTCGCTCACTGGACCAGAATGGCTTTTTCTCCTCGGCTTCCCTACATCTCAGGATGGCTCCATTCTTAGCAGCTGCCCATCACTCAGGACAACGGTTGCCGCTCCGTGGGGAGAGCCTGCAGGGTCCTTGCCAGACTCCCAAGGCCCAGTCTAACCAGAGCGCTTTCGGCTGCTCCTTCACCCCGCATGCAGGCTTGAGAGCCCTGCAGCTGGTCGCGGGGGCAGGGATTCAGGATACTCTGGGTGGCTGAAGCCCTGCAGGGGGAGTGGAACAAAGCCTGTGTGTCCTGAATAGGGCCGCGGGGTTACCCACTGAAAATCAGGACCTGTGGCCAAGAGGAAGGGGTGAGAACAAAGCCACATCGTCCACACCAGGAAAGGCCCGGGTGTTGGGGAAGCTCCTCGGTGTCCTAACTGCTGACCCACTCTCTGACCACAGATCCGCCAGTGAAGGAAAACCCGTACGAGGACGTTGAGTTACATGGTCGCTGCCTGGGGAAGAAGTGTGTCCTGAACTTTCCTAGTTCTCCCACCTCTTCCATCCCTGACACGTCCACCAAGGTATGAGCCCCAGGAGCAGTGAGGGGTGAAGGACCCCTAGCACCTAGGCCTGGGCGCCCCTGACTTGCACCCAGCTGCCTGCCCGCCCTTTGTGCCCCAAGTCCTCCCGGGACCCCCTCCCAGATTGTTGGCCGACCAGCGTTTTAGCTTCAGCACCAAAAAACTCCCCGAGGGCCTCCCTGTGGCCCAGGGATTAACGACTCAGCGCTGTCGAGCTGTGGCCAGCCACTGCAGCACGAGCTTGGTCCCCCGCCAGGTCGCGGCAGACCTCTCCTGACACCCCGCTGCCCCCCTCAGCAGTGCATTTCAGTCAGCCCGCCTGTTCTGCTCCCCACTCTGTCTCTGGTGAAGCCTCTCACTGTCACCACCCTTGCAACCCCAGGACCTCTGGCCTAAACCCCAAATCTTCTACACACACACACACCCAAAATAATTAATTAATTAATTAATTAAAAATTAAATTGTAAATTCATGAAGGCCCATAAGTACATGTAGGGGTCTGAATGGTAAGGATTCACTTACACGTGTTTTCGTTTTTCTGTCCGCGGTGGGGGGGGGGGTCCCCCAGTCACAGCACCAACCAACCATGTGACGTTTGATTGACTCCCCGGATTTGGAACCTGAGTATTCCGAGGGCTGATGATAAGATATACCAAATTTTTGCCTCTGTGCAAGTAGTCAGCACCCCAGTCCCACTGTTCAGGGTAAAGTATTGTCTTTTTGTTTCTCCCACCAGTAGCTACACAAGATTTAGTTGCTGAAGAAATGAAACGAAGGGAAGCCGGGCTGCAGGTGTCAGTGCAGATCCCTGAGGAAGGATCCATCTCCAGCCGAGACTGCATGGCCTCCCTCTCTGGGGTCCGTGCGAGGCCAGTGTTCCCCGGGGGGCAGGGGGCTGTCTGTGCTTGAGGAACCCTTGCAAAGGGAAGTCTTCCTGCAGCGGCCTTCCTGGAGGTGTGGAAGAGGGGACCTTGGTGAAGGATGGCTCTTGCTGACCCAAATCAACCGCTAGACAGTACTTGCCCCCTCTGTAACTGCTGCTTTCTCCTCCTGTGGAAAACACGTCTTCAGGAGTGATCCATGGCAAGCACTTTCTGCTTGCCTCGGAAAGGTGTCTGTGGGGCTCGCCCAGGCCGGTGGAGGTCTTTAGCTTTTAAGCAATCTTTGAAGAAGGACGGCTGTCCCGCCTGGCTGTCCCTGTCCGTCCCCTCACATCCTCTGCCGCCCTCTCTCACTTCTCTCTGGGGGAGCAGCGCACGGCCTCAGGAACAATGAAAAACATCTGCCCAGTGCAGCTCTGCTCCCTAGTACCAGCAAACAAAGACCTCCCAGCCCTTTTCTCCCCGCTTCCTGCCAGGAGAGAAAGCCCAGAGCCTTTGTTCCCCAAATAGCCACAGTGGGGAATCAGGTCCAGGAGGGCTGGAGGCCCAGAGGCAGTGCTCCTGCAGAGTTCAGCCGCTGCCGCCAGGGCCCAGCGGGGCACTCGCCGCCGCTCGCCTTCGCAGGGCGCCAGCAGGACGCCCACGCTCCTGTCTCCGTGCTGCCACATCTGGGTGTCTGGCTCGCACCCCTGTTCTGGGGGACAGCTGCAGACTGCCCCACTTCCTCCATTTAGCTCATCAGATATTCATGGGGCCTCCGCGTCATCTGGGCTGCAGCTGGACCGGAGCCCTTGCTGACGCAGCCCCTCACGGCCACCTCCTCTTCCGGCCACAGCGAGGCCCTGGACCCTCGCCCGGCGTGTTCGCGTGTTGGATTGTGCCTGGTCCGGTAGACGGCTGAGGGCTGCCGGGCCCACGTCCTCAGAGAGGAGCCTTGCTAGTGCTAGTGCTGAGAAACATGGCGCGGGCGGCTGGGGGGCCTTACTTGAGTGTCTGCTGCCTGCATAGAATCACGCTTTTTAACGTGTTTTTAAGAAAGATGCCTTATATTTTAAAAGAGAACGTTCTCACGACTAAATTTCCTTTAAAGTCAAAACATTGACGAAAATGAGACTCATCACAATCAGGGGCTTTTCCTTTTTCTTGATGCTCACCTGTATTTTTCTCTTTTTTCTGATACAGATTACTACTGTATGCGTGTCTGTGTGTGTGTGTTTTACAAGAGAAAAGTTGCCTGTCATCCCGACGCCCACAGAGAGCCACCACTAGCCCTCCATTTTTTCCCTTCCAGATCTCCTCACAGGGTGCACATGGTGTGCAGGGGTGTGTGTGCTCGTGTATGTGCCATTTACAGAAGAGGCTCCCGGGGGCTCAAGGGTTAACGCTAAAGCGCAGCACTGTGCAGCTCTCAGCAGCCACTGCAGCCTGAGTTCGAGGGAGCAGGCCAGGGAGTGACCCCCAGGGCGCAGCAGACCTCTCCTGTCTCCCCGCTGCTCCCCTCAGCAGTGTACTTCGTCAGTCTGCCTGTTCTGCTCCCCACTCTGTCTCTGGTGAATCCTCTCACCCCCGCACCTCTGGCCTGTACCCCAGTTCTGTATGCACAAATACATAAATCTTAAAAAAAAAAAAAAACTGCTGGGATCATATTGTATACGGAGCAGTTTTGCTGCTCTTTTCATTTTTCTGAGTATTTCCTCGTGTCATTAATTGCCTTTTAAAAACAATTCCTTGTGCCCGCGAGCCGTGCCGTCACTTTACTGCCACGCCATCGCCTTGGTCAGTGCGACATCCTGTCTGTCAGAATCTGTGTAGAATCTCGCCTGTGTTTATGTACGTGTGTATACTTAAGGATACGTTCACATAAACGTGTGCATGAGGACATAGTTGAAATTGTGTCTGTTTGTGTGAATGACATCAGAACACTTCTGGGAGACCAGGAAGGCGGCCGAGAACAGCAGGAGATGGGCTATTTCCTAGCGAGCTGCTTCTGCGCCCTCACGGCCAAGGCCTTGCAAGGATGATGCGATGTCCCTGTCTGCTTCAGTGTCACCAAGGTGTTCCTCTGTGTGGTCTCCTCCTCAGCTCCCCACCTGTCCTCAGGTCATGCCCTACACCCGCTCACCTCCGCCACGGAGCACACAGGCCTTCTCTTTCATCCTCCCCAGGCCCTCACACAGACTCCCTGGACATTGGGGCCTCTGGGACACCCCCAGAGCCCATTCTCCAGCAGGCGGGCCTCCCTCTGCTGCCACTAGCTCGAGACACGTTTGCTCTTTTTCTCTCTTCTCGAACCTTCCCCACGTGACATCTTTGGGCACGTACTCACATCTAAATACCTGATGAAAATAAATACCTGGTTTTGGCTGACAAGTGGATATGCGATTCCCAGGCAGCAAAGGAATCAGGGCCATTTCCTTGGAGTTCATTGCAGATGGAACTTTCCACAGCCGGGCGAGTGTTGACAGCGCCCTTATGGGGTGAGGCCGGCTCCCCTCACCCCAGGTCACAGGCCAGCTGTGCGGCCCGGTTTCCTGCTCCCCGTCACTGGGGTCACACCACCACTCCCCACCTCGCCCGTGCACTCACCCTCTGTTCTCTCCTTTCCCCTCACAGCAGCCATTGTCCAAACCTGCTTTTTTCCGGCAAAATTCAGAGAGGAGGAATTTCAAGCTGCTGGACACTAGGAAGCTGAGTCGGGACGGAACTGGGTCACCTTCCAAAACCAGCCCTCCCTCCACCCCCAGCAGCCCTGATGACACTTTCTTTAACCTCGGAGACCCACAGAATGGCAGGAAGAAGAGAAAGATACCCAAGGTAACAAGCCTCGAGCTCACCTGTGCTCCCAGAGGAAGGGCCCGCGGGGTCCGGCAGAGAGCAGATCGCCAGGCCCTTCTGCCCACTGTGTCCCGGGCCAGGAGGGCTTGGCGAAGCCAGCGGGCTCTGTTCTCACTCTGGTGGTCCCGCCGCCTCCTGTAGCCATTCCTCTCCAGGCCTTCACCACCCTCCAGACCCCCCCCCAGCGGTGTTTCCGGTGCCCAGCCTCCCCAGCCCACGGCCTCCTCTCTCCTGGCCTCACACAGCAGAGCTCTGTACCCTGTGCTGACCCAGACTTTGGCCAAGGTGACCTTGACGCCTTGTGTGCCTACGCCCCGAGGCAGCCCTCATCAGAAAGACAAAGACTGTCGATGGGCTTCACCCCATTCCTCAAGGGGACCCTTGACCTAGAAGTCCAGCCAGAGGGAACTCAGGATGCTTCTGCTCTTCGAAGGCATGGGTGGCCCGGAAAGGCCTGGAGGGTGGCCCCGGGTTTCAGCCACATGGAGGCTGTGCTAGTCAGCTGGAGAAGGTGTCTCCAAGTAGTGGGGTCTGCTGCCTGCTGGCCCCTGGGCCCTGAGGGGCAGGGAGCGGACTCGCCAGCCTGGAGTGAGCAGGGCTCTGCAGAAAGGACAGGCCTGGGGGCAGGGACTCGAGGTGCCCCCCTCTGGGCTGCTCAGACGTGCTTTGGCATGGGTCCCACCCCAGGGGCCCTGCCCGGGAACCTTCTGTGGCGGGGAGGGGACAGTCCATTTGCAAGCCGTGGTGACATCACAGTATGGGGCAGCCGCCATCCCACCCTGTGAGAGCTGGCCAGCTGGACGCCATGGCGTATTCAGCCACGCACCCATCCGACAGTGGGGCTGGCAGCCTCCCTTAGGGTCCTTGCAGCTGCATCCCCGTCTGGCGGGAAAGAACGATTGAAAGACACCAGCAGGGCAGTGGGGCGCGTCTCCCCGTCCCGGGCCCCGGGCCCTGCATCGCCCTGGGAGATGGCCGCAGAGGGAGGCCCGGCTGCACGCGGGCGGGCTGCTCACCCTGGCCCCTCTCCTCCCGCGTCTGGCAGCTGGTGGTGCGCATCAATGCCATCTATGAGGCCCGGAGAGGAAAGAAACGGGTGAAGAGGCTGTCGCAGTCCACAGAGAGCAACTCGGGAAAAGGTAGGATCCGCCGCAGGGCCTGTGCCCGCAGGATCTGGAAACGATGCCTCCTGGGAGCGACTGCCTGTCTGTGGTTGGCTCCGAGGAGGGGCGCAGTGGGTGCTTGGCCAATGTCTGCCGGGACTGACTGCCGAGGAGCCGGGGGCACCGGTGCCCGGCTGCCAGGTGGGCCCGGCGCTGTGTGCGCTGACCGGGCGCCTTCCCCGTTCCCGGGCGCCCGCTGCACTGTTTGATGCCCGTACTAGAACGAGAGCCGAAATCCTCCTCCTTCCGTGGAGCTGGGCACGGACGTCGTTTGCCCATTAGCTTCAAAGAGGCGAGAAGAAAGCCGCCCCTCTGAGCAACACCTTGCACTGTGCTGCCACACATGAACGTCTCCTGCGTTAGAAGAATTCACACTTGCCACTCTCTGTCCTTTTTTGGTCTAGTGACAGATGAGAACAGCGAGTCTGACAGTGACACCGAGGAGAAGCTGAAAGGTGAGGGGAGCCGTGGCTGTGCAGGGCGCGAGCGGGTGACGGAAACGCTGCCCACCTCGAGGGACCGGGCAGTCCTTGGGAGCTTGTCGGGAGAGGTGCGAGTGTCTGTTGGGGGGACGGTGGTGGCCAGAGGGTGTCCGGGGAGGTCAGTTGCGTGCCCGGCCAGAATGGGCCTGTGTCACCGAGTCTGTGACTCCGGAGAGCCAGCGCGGCCCCCCCTGCAGGGCCCCGTTCCCGGGCCTTTCCAGTATGGTCTAGGTGCTCCTCACGCCTGTGGAAGGTGCAGCTGTGCTGGAGGCCCGGGGTGCTCGACCCGCCACTGATAAAATTGGCAGGGGTCACGAGGAAATCGCTTACGATCTCAGGGCCGCTTCTTTCTCATCTGTCTTGTGAGGTCATTGAAGAAGCGCAGCTCAACTGGGTGTTAGGTTTCAGGGGTGTCCCGCCCTGTCAGCCAGCAGATCCCTGCGGAGTAGAGGCCCCACATACCAGGCTCGGTGTTACGGCAATTTCCCAGGGCAATAAACGGCACGCAGAGTGGTTACGAGAGAGATTTACTGGTCACGCCGGTGGGCTCGGTGGGATCAGTCCCAGAAGGCCGAGCCCCGAGTCCAGGAGTGGTGATGCATACAACCTGTATAAAACCTCACCACCCCTCGCTCTCCACCACTCTGCGTGCCGTCTACTACCCTGGGAAATTGCCATAACACCTGCATCCCAGTTAGCCTGGCGGCATGTCAGATGTTCCTAGAATCTTCCTGGAAGTCAGCAAGGACCCCCAAAGCAAGAGTTTTGTATTAATCTGTGAAACGTGGAACACGTCCTTAGGATTAGGAGAAGCACGGAAGCTGAGGATCGCCGGCCCCCGTGCGGTTCTGTGCAGTCCCACCACCTCGGGCTCTTCTCTTCCCTCCTTCTCCCTCCAGCTCACAGCCAACGCCTGGTCGACGTGAAGTCCCGCCTCAAGCAGGCCCCACGATACCCGCCGCTTGACCGGGAGCTGGTCGAGCACCAGGAACGGCAGCTCTTCGAGTACTTCGTGGTCGTGTCGTTGCACAAGAAGCAGGCCGGGGCCGCCTACGTGCCCGAGCTCACCCAGCAGTTCCCGCTGAAGGTACCGCAGGCCTGGCCTCTGCCTCCCCTCGGGGCCCCACGCCCGCGCGCCCCCCACAACCTCCAGAGGCCTAGACAGCCATGTTGAAAGCTTTTGGGGGCCTCCCTGATGGCACAACAGGTTAAGCCTCAGTGCTCTGAGACTATACACAGCCGCTGCAACATGAGTTCCATCCCTGACCAGGGAGGGACCCACAGGGCGCAGCAGACGTCTCCTGTCTCCCCGCTGCTCCCCTCAGCAGTGTGTTTCAGTCCATCTGCCTGTTCTGCTCCCCACTCTGCCTCTGGTGAATCCTCTCACCACTCCTGCACCTCTGGCCTGCACCCCAGTTCTATATGCATAAATAAATAAATATTTTAAAATAAATAAAAGGTTTTGTAAGGCAAAAGCTGCATAATCCCTGTTGCAAAAGGAACTAACCCAGAATCATACAAAGAAGACGTCTGTCATGGCACCACAGCTGACAAATCATCAGCTCAAAGCTGTTCTAAGACCATTAGAATCTTCTAGGCCATGAGTGGAAGGGAGGAATTATATAGAGAAGAAATAGCGACCACTTGTTCTGAAGAAGAAAAGCTAAGGGATAATTAATGATTGGCTTAAAGTCTATAAAAGGGAATTGTGTTTCAGTCACTGATTCACTGCATTGTCCCAACATTAATATTGGTAGCAGCTTTCATTAAGTTAGGCTTCCTGGAAGTAGGTTTTCTACTTGAGAACAGTCAGCTGGGTGCTCTATTCCTTTGAATGTTTTCTTCAGAGACCTCCTCCCTCTGAACACAGACGCTAGAAACTGCCAGTTAAAAGCAGAGGTTCAAAGACAGGTTTTTAGAAAAAGTGAAAAATCGATGGAAAACATCAGAAACAGAATCCAGAGCAGACATTACTATTCCCTAACTTCAGAAGTCCAGACTCTGCTTGCTTCAAATTGCTCATACTTCACATTACTGAAGGTAACTTTGGCATAAGTTATTTTTATTTAATAACTTAAATAAGAATATAAACCTAGCGATGACAGCAACAAAATGTCAACAATTCTTCCCAACACTTTGGAAGTTGTTTTTTTTTTTTTTTT